AAAAACCTATATTAATTTTTTAAAATAAAGTAAAATTAGAAGTTAACTGTTATATATAAAGTTTATACAGATAATATTTCTAATTTATATGTTAGACCAAAGTAAATAACATTTACATGATGTAAATAAAATAATGTATAACACTAACTAGACACATGTTGTACGGAATGAGTATTAATATATCTATTCTACATTTATCCTCATTGCACTAACAGCCCCTAGTGGACTGGTAATGTGCATTAACACCTTAGTCCATGCCAAGGTTTCGAGTCCCTATTGGGACAATTGTAATATTTCATACTCCCCTTTAAAATTTCCCTTTGTTCAAAAAAAAAAATTTATATGTTAGACTAACAGTGATTACCTTATTGAGAAGCATTCTTTCGGAACTTGGCCCAACTTAGTTGGTTTAATTGATTGAGTCAGATTTGGTTTAAAAAATGAATATAATTATGATAATAACTTATTTGAAGTCAAATTTGACCAACACCCATTCAGACTCGGTCAAACTCATCCAAATCCAATCAACTTAATTGACTAAAATTGATGCAACTCTTTTTTTTATATATTTTTTCATTTTTCTTTAATTTTTATATTTCTATTTATTTCATTCATAGATAATATAATAATGATTAAATATCAATTTTGATCCCTTAACTTTAAGATTTTAGATAATTTTCATCCTTTAATTTTTTTACACTTTATTAGTCCCTCAACTATGAAAAATATTTTTTTTTAGTCTTTCAATCAATTAATCTGTTAAATTTATCTAAATATACATATATTTCATTCCTTAACTGCATATTTTTAGTCTCTTAACTTAAAATTAAGAAATGAAAAATGTGCATATATTAAAAGTTGAGGGATTAAAAAACTGCATGTTTAGATAAACTTAATGAATTAACTGATAAAATGACTAAAAATGTACATTTTTCATAATTAAAGGACCAAAAAGTGCATAAAAAGTTTAAGGATGAAAATTATGCAAAACCTTAAAGTTAAGGGACCAAAATTGACATTTAACCTATAATAATTAAATTGTAAAATCTATTTAAAATCAAATCACAATTAATAAATCAAAATTTTTAAATTAATTTAGATGTAATTTAAAATTAATTGTTATTTCATATTGGAGAATGATTTTAATTTAAAATCAAATCAATTCGATTTTGAAAATAAAGTAAATAACTACTTTATATACTGAAATAAATGAAATCAATTTAAAATTAAAACTAATTTTAAGTAATTTTGGAAATAAAATCAATTGCTACTTTAGATAATAAAATGAATGAGATCTTTTTTAAATTAAAATTAAATGAAACCAATTTAAAATTAAAACTAATCTCAAGCAATCTTGAAAACAAAATCAATACAAGCAAAAAAAAATTTATAATTAATATAAT